AAGAAAATCCTCTTCATCCCTCCTCCCCTCCAGGGAGCAGGACCCCTTGAGAAGAGGAGAGGAGGGAGGGAAGTAAGTTGAATCAGGCAAGTCCCCACCCACCCTGGAGAAAGCTCTGGGGGAGGGGGAGCTCTGCCGAGCGCGGTTGGGGTCCAGCTGGGTCTGGGCAAAGGCCAATTAATTCATCTCCCTGGAAAAGTAACCTGATTGCTTTTATTTTTGTTTTATGGGGGTTAGGAGGAGTTAGAGTTAAACTTCCCAAAGTGTCTCCATATAAATCCTGATATTACAAACTGAGAAAGTCAAGCGGAAAACATAAAAACACTGAGAAGTGAGGATTAAGAGCACTTCTGGTGGAAGGGGACCAGGAGACCTTGTTTGAGTCCCATTCCAGCACACCCCAATCTGTGGCTCCTTCCTCCTCACCCCCATGAACGCCTCCGGATGAGACACCGCCCACCCCCTTACTCCAGGGTCCCACCCCCTTACTCCAGGGTCCCACCCCCTTACTCCAGGGTCCCCGAGGCAACAGGCAGCGAGGCTGTTGCCGGGGACCAGGCGAGCCCCACGTGGGAGAGGGCTCTCTGACCAGGAGTAGGTGTGGTCAGCTCTCTGCAGATACCGGTGTGGGGGAACCTCTCAGGTCTCGCCCACCGTCCTCCTGACAATTACTACAACCTGGAAGTAATGCCTGCCACCCCACACCTCCTCCCCCCCCCCCTCCGCCCTGGGCAGGACTTGACATCACTCGTCAGACAGGGAAGGACACAGCTGCCTTGTCAGCGTTTGATCTCCGGAGGGCGAGGACAGAGGAGTTGTGGGGACCTGTCCGTGGCCCCGGGACAAGGCCAGGCCAAGGTTCGCGTGGACAGCCCCCCGCTTCGCCTGCCTCCACCAAACTGGCCTATTTCTGATGACCTGGTCTCCCTGTTGGAAGCTTCACGCCATGGACCCCTCTTCCTTCTCTGGGTTTCCTGGGTCTGGGCTGGAGGCGGCCAGGGCGGCCAGGGCGTGGGGGCCTGGCTGCTGGCCGGGCTTCCCAGCCCGGCTTCCCAGCCCGGCCTCCCAGCCGAGCCCAGCTGCACCCAACCCACCCCGCCCCCAGGCCGGCTCTGGCGGCTTCACCAGAGCAGAGTGGCTGAGCCCCGACGCCTCCCGCGCCGCCTCCCTTAGGAGCCTTTTCCTAGGGGGGCACTTGGGGTTTTTGTTCGCCCCCAAGGTCTTGGGTGGGGCGATGGCACCGAGAACTTAACTGTGCTCAGTGCCCAGGAGCTAGGAGAGAAAGAGCTCCCGGCCGATCTCACCCCTCCCTCCAAATAACAATAAAATGTGCCCCAGCACGCACGCCGGCTTGCGGACTGTGGCTGCAGGGTCGGCCTCGCGGGTGGAGACCCAGGAGGGTGGGGGGCAGGGGTGGGCCCTCCCGGACCGCACGCAGCCGCTGCCCCCACCTCCACCCCGCCTCCACGTGCTCCAAAGTCTGGAAGCGCCGCCTCCCTCTCCTCCCTTCCCGCCCCACCGCGGAAAATCCTTCCAGGAAAGTGGTCTAAATTAAATAATAAAAAAAGCCCACACGCACCTTTAATAAACTTAAGAAAACCAAAAACAAGTCGTCCCAGCTCGCCCAGCCTCTTAAGTTTGTAAGAACAGTCAGTCCTCTTTCTGAGAACGGGTAATAGGAAGAAGTCCAGAGAGGGTTAGCGTTTTGCCCAAGGTCACACAGCGCAAGGGGCAGGTCTGGACTCAAATCGCCACCACATGCCTGCCGCCCCAGCCCCCTGCGGTCTGGCCCTAAAATCTCCAGACGAGACCTCCCTCCCCCGGGATTGATTACAACAACGGGGGTCAGGGCCTGCTGCGGGGGCGGGGTGAGGGGCGCTGGGCCGCCAGCCCCTTCCAGCTAGGCGGCCCCTCTCAGAGCTCTCGGCGCACCGGGGCCCCAGCTGCAGCTGCCAGCTCGGGAGCGCTCCGGCGGCGGGGTCTGAGAGGGGGCACCCCCGCCCCACCCCCAGCAGGAAGTCGCGGGCAGCGGGCCGCGCGGGCCTGGGCTGACCCGGGGAGCACTTCCTCATTGGCCCCGCGCTGCCCAGACGGGCGGGAAGAAGGACGCGCGGGCGGGCGGGCGGGCGGGCGAGCCCAGGGACGGACAAGCCACCGCCCGCCGGCGCGCTCCACCTCGCGGCGGCCGTGAGAGGCCGCCCTGCCCCTGCCCAGCCCTGCGCTGGCCCCTTCGCCCTCCTCCTCCGCCTCCGCCTCCTGCCGGGTGCAGGCTGCGAGCGATCCCAGCTGCCGCTCCAGTCTCCTCCTTTTCCCTCTGCCCGTCTGGCACGGGCATCATTAGCGTGAAAGCTGTTGATGTCTGGTCTCACAGCTCCCCCTTTAGTCTTGCTGTGCTCCCTGTCTCGCTTTCCAAGCAGGATCAATAGCCGCCTCTCTGCGGACCTTGACCTCTCCCTGGACCTGTGAGTGTGGGCAGCTGGCCCACACTAGTCTCCCCACACTCTCCAGGCCCAGACAGCAGGCTGAGGGGGCGGGCTGGCGGCCAAGTTGGGGTTAGGGCTCTGTCCCCACCCCTTCCTCAGGACCCCTGACTGACATGGATTCAGGTACCCTACTGAAGTCGCTGCACACCCCCCCAAGGGGCTGGGTCCACCAAGCCTTTGTTCACAATTGAAGTGACTCTAGTGTCCCCCAAAATTGAGGCGCACCCCAAAAAGGCGTGCGAGGTTGGCACTTAACATGCTAACATTTAAAAGGGGCATTGGTGGTGCTGAAACCTTAGCAGGACCCGTCAGATCCTGACACCAGCATGCGCTGCAGACCACTGTGCGCTCCATCCAGCTGCAGTTCTGCAGGCAGGAACTGGACGGAAAGAAATGCTCCATTTCTGCACAGTCTTGGTGGGCAGGGAAGCAGATGTCAAAAAGTGTTTTAAACTTACAGATATTTCTGTTCCTCTTTTGTAGCGACATAGCCCATCCCGCCAGACCCCATGTTCTCCCTGTCAATTTCTTACAGCACAACAGTTCAGAAATTATATCATCCGCTGGGAAGCATTTGCACAAACCTTCTGTGGGGCTCTGATTCCTGTGTGCTGCATGCAGGAGACACACCCCTGGGCAGAGGGGGGCTGATGAAATAGATTCGTGACCCCTGCCAAGCCCGCAGCCAGGCCTGTAAGATGCTTTGCACCTTTCCCAGTCCTCTCAGCAGAGGGACTCTCTGCTGGGTCTTTGCCCTCCGAGCTGCTATAATCTAAATCTTTGCAAAATGTGGAAAGAATGGAGAGAAGTAGAGTCAGTAGAAATGGCAAACCCAGTATCCCTGCAAAAAAGAAAATCGAGTTTCGTTTGTAGGTGTTGTGGGTGAATCCAAAATGTAGTCAAATAACGCTGAGGCAACAGAGAACTCAACAACATCTCTTATCAGATTGCTTTGGGCTTCATTTCTGGTGCCTCCAGGAAAAAATTCTGTGCGAAGAGAAAGTGAATCTTTTCATATTCACACAGGCGAAGGGCAAATTCCAAGGCAAATTGTGTCTGCTAATTTCTGTTCCTCAGGATCTGCAAAAGCTGTTGACTGAGATGAGGATAAATAAAATGCACCAGTCTGACCTGCGGATGGCTTCACATCCAAGCAAACGCAGTAAAGGTCTAGGGAATCGCAGGCGAGCACACACTGATAAGGCGCCAGCCTCCTTCCTCGTAGTTCCTGTCAAATCCAGAAGCCTTTTGGCTTCCCAAATTATTTTGTATCATTTCTG